AAAAAAAAAAAAAAAAACAAGATCCTTGTTGCCTTTCTTTCTTTTCCTTTTCCTATTAAGATACCTAATCAGATAAGGAAATTGATTAACACAATAAATAATATACACTTACTTAAAATAAATAAAAAAACCAAAGAAAAAAAAAAGAAAAGCAAAAAAAAAAATAAATATATACAAATTAACATGAAGATCAGTTAAATGGAGAACCATATGAAGAAGAGAAATATGAATATGACAACGCATTGAGTGCCGACAGGACTTACCTGAAATTCAAGAAACGAATGGATGCACTGTCAGCAATGCTTCAGGTAAAAAGCCTCAAAATCGAACTTGATGATGCCTATCCAGTTAAAAAATATATGGTAATTACATATAGTAATGGATTGGAATACATAACTTTCTAGATTACAAACACTAATAGAGATATGTTATACACATTACAAATTGTACCAATTGAGAGTAATAATTTGGAATATCTGAAACTCAAGGGGATACGTATAAAAAAATCTAGGGTAAATAATTTTTTCCAACCTATACCATACGTGCTTTTGGGATTTTCAGCCTATTTTTTTTTTGTTTAAATTGCAACCTGAACTACATATATATTCATTATTTGCACGCTCACACACTTTCACCATGCATGTGTCTTTTTTTGCAAATGATTGTATGCTCAAAAAGTAGGCGAGCGTGAAAATAATGAATATATATGTAGTTTAGGTTGCAATTTACAAAAAAAAAAATGTACTTTAGGTTGAAAATCTCAAAAGCACGTATTCATTTTTTATTTCTAAAATTGGATATACCTCCAATGCCAATCTTGTTATTATGCGTATTTCACACAAATTATATACTCTCAAGGTTGTTATAGCTAATTTTATAGCCTTTCCAGTTCTCTCATCTTTTCCTTCTTTTTCACCTTCTCCGATAGCTTGTGTTTATCTCTCCCAGATATTCTTATGGTGGGAACTGGGAAGCCTCTTTTGGCTTCTGTAGAAATGGAAAATCCTGAGATGTGTAAACACTGTGGTGGGGCAAGGCATTATGAACTGCAGTTGATGCCACCGGTGATATTCTTCTTGCAGGAAGCAGCTGATGACCGGCAGAGAATTACACTTGTTCCAAGGTGCGAGCCTTTTTTCTGTACAATATGCAAATTGTACATAAAGTAAAGAATAAAAGATGGACATGATACTAGTTTGTAGTTTTACATTTATTTAGGGGGTGTATTATTCATTTGGGATTCTTAAAGATTTGTTGAAACTTTAAGAACATGATGTATTTAACTTGGACCTTTCAAGACTTTTAAAAGTCTTGAGGATTGAGATTTCAAAAAGTCTTAACAAATCACGAGGTATTTAACTTATTTGACACCGAGATTTACTAAGACCTTTTAAGATTTGGTGAGGTTTCATAAACAGAAACCTTATATGAAATCTGGCCACAAATCACAATCCCAGATTCAAAATTTTCATTCTTCTTAAATCTCAAAATCTTAAAATGTCCCAAATCTTAAAAAATCTCAAAATGTCTTTTAAAATCCCAAACGAATACACCCTTAGCATCAATGTTGTAAGACAGTTGGTTTGGCGTGCAAATTTATTTCTTATTTATATAACCTTATATAATCTATGTGTGTATTTATTATTCATACAGTTAAGTTTTGTTATTAGACTGCCTTCATTTTGATATTTGTGATCATCTAGTAGAATAGTTTTTGTTTCCACCAATTTTCCTTTCTGTCACATCTTTTCTTTCATTTTTTACCATTTAAAATTATAAATTATCTTGGTTGATCTCTTTCAAAGTTGCATAGACTCATTGAAAGCGATGTAGACTGGATAATCGCAGAGGAGGCAATTATTCTGCAGTATGAATAGATTGTATTGGTGCAACTCTTCGAGTTAAGGTTTACTCTAATGTATAATCATGAATGTGAAATTTTGACATTTTTTGTTTGTATCATGGATAGAGCTGCTATAGAATCGACAAGTCGAGCGGCTCAAACGCAGTTCGTTTATAATGGCAAGAGTTTCAGTTGTCAAATACTTTCCTCCTACACTGATGATTGACTGCCATTTCTACGCTAATGAAAAGCTTCATCATTAATATGTACTAGTACAACGCCCGTATATTACACGGGTGCTTGTTAAATTTTTTTCTTAAAATTTAAAATTAGTGAGAAAAGGTAATTGAGAATTTAAATACTTTATATATATATATAATATTTTAGTATGATACTTGTTACTTACATGTGTTATATTATAATAATTTTTCTAACTTATAACATATAACTACATTAACCATGAATATATTAATTGAGAATTAATTTAATTTTTTAATTAGTTTTAATAAATATTTTTTTATTATTGTAAAGATAAATATAATTAATTTATTTTATATATACAATATGGATGTCAAATTGAAGCTTATCAAAGGATAATTAATTTGATACATTATATATGTAAACCTAATAAAAAATACAAAAGTTATCAACTTTTAAAATATATTTACAATTCAATAGTTATAATAGGAAATTATATTAAAATACAATTAATACATCTAAAATGATCATTAATAAATCAACATATTTATGGTAATCCGAACCTAACTAGTTTTGGATAGGATTAAAATTTATCCAAGTCAAATAACAAAACATGGAATTTTGACGCCTAGGATTCCGAAGCATGCGAGTCTGCCACTTAGGCTTAGCACATTCGGGAATTATATATAGGGGGATAAGATATTTTATTTTTTTTAATATTTAATTTAATATATATATTAATACAAGTGTAACGCTCCGATCGATTTAGGACCACCTTGAACTCGCCTTCCTCGCCGGTAGAACGCTGAACCTGCACGAAACTCTCACCGGAGGGAGTTTCCGGTGAATAGCCTCCAACGCTCAAGTCAGTCTTGAGAAAATGAAGATGTATATGATAGTGTATAGTGTATATGAGAGATAATGTCTAAAAATGAAAGACCTCACCCCTATTTATAGGGGTGAGTTACTTGCCCTAGGAGCTGCTCGGGTAAGTTGAGCTGGCTGTCCCAGCTGCCCGGTCATACAATCCACTACCTCCACTACCTTGGTGTCAGGAATATGCAATAATGTGTCAGAAACCGTTACTATCATAGACCAACTAGCGTTCGCCACGTGTCCTCTGCGCACATGCTGGAAATTCCTTTGTAGGCTCTGATGTTTGACCATATTTGGGCAGGCTGTTGAGTTGCCCCTACAGTGCAGGGTGATCGATCTCACGACTATTTGTAATCGACCACTCCTGCCTTCGACCATATCTGCTATGGAGCGAAAATTTGTCGGGTACTCCTGAATTCGCATGGCTTCGACCTTTGTCCTCATCGACCAACGTGTACTTCATTCGACCGGACCTGTTGGTCCGGTTTATCCTCCTCTTATCCATTGGACCGGTTCATGGTGTAATATCCCATATATATATATATATATATATATATAATTGATGGGAAGCTTCAATAAAATTTATTCAGCCAACAATTAATAAAAAATGACTTTATTTGATAAAAAAAACTTTATGACCAGCATCCAAATGACCCGCTACACAAGTAAAACTTTATTATTATTAATTTTTTATTTTGTAATAATTTATAATATTTTAAATTTTTTTGAATATACGATACTAAATTATTTTAAACTAATACCTTTATTTTGTATTATTGCTATGCAATAAAAAAAAAACTGATTTAAATGGACGTTAAATAATGTATATAAACTATTCATTTAGATATAGTCAAACTTTTAAAATGTAATACACACTTTATCTAATTTAATTTTTTAAATATTATATCAGTGCATATAATATATAAATTTTTATTTTCCTCCGTGCATGTGCACAACTCGAATACCAGTTTTATTTAAAGCTTAGGATAATTAAATTAATTTTGGTCGGGCATATGCATTAGTAAAAGTACTAGTAATAATATCTATATACTTCGAGAAATGTTATAGTCGCGTTAAGGAACTATTCCATCAGGATTTGTAACCGTTAGATCAACTATCCCGACAGTTATATAATGATTTAACAGTTACAAACTCCGACAAAATAGTTCTGTAACGAGATCGTAGCATCTCTCGTAATAATATCTATATACTTCGTTTGGTTTGTGAAAGGGGACAAATAGAAAGAGAGACGGCCACGGCACAGCTAAGCAAAAGGCTCGTGACGTGAAAGCTAATTTGCCAGCGCAGCTGAAAAAATAATACTAGCAAAAAAAATGAAAGGAAAAGCCAAAACCGTGTGAAGTCCCCAATGGCGACTCTGTAATTTACGCGAACAAAAAAATCTGCCATTTTATTAGGGCCATTTTGTTTAAATTCCGAATTCTTCTTCGTTGTTGTTCTATCTCAAGGAGAAATATACTCTTTATTCAGGGCTTTGGAGGCTAAAACGGCGCCCATTTTCATCAGAAATTTCGAAGAATTTTAGTGTCCATCAATGGAGGATCGCAAGGAGGTAAAAAGACACAGATTTTTGCTGGCTTTCTTTGGTTTTTGCTTTCTTTTTGTGTGAATGTTTCTGGGTTTTTGCTCGTCTTAAATCTACTCTTTTTTCGATCTATCGAGAAACTAAACTATACCGGAGAGCTGAAGCTGATGATTTTGTGATGTAATTTTGTTCTGTTTTTGAATTTTGGCTTCTTGTTGGTCACTGCATATTTTAGTGACATGAATATATGTTTGTTTTGTTTTTGTAGAGAATTCGTGTTCTTTCTTTCTCATTCTATGCAAAAATTGTTGTTCGATTCGTTTTAGATTGTTTTGGACTAGATTGGATGTATGGTTTTACTATCTGTTCTTGTAAATTAACCTGATTTACCTACAGAATCCTTGTAAAATAATAAATTAATTCTTATCAGCTTAATGCCTGGGCTAATAATGATAAGAGGGCTGATTTTATTGCGGTTAGCTGTTGAATCCGGCCGAGCCGACGTCTATATTTTTCTCGTTTCTTTTCTCGTGATTTTCCCGAGTGATTTAGTTGAGAAAGTAATTGTAAAAGACGAACATGAACCATTCAAGATTTATCAACTTTACTGTTGCATTCTTGCTTCTTTTTTCCTTTCATATTTGCAAATTTTTCCCCTTTATTAGAATCTTGGCCTACAAACTTTGTTAATCTTTTTGAGTTGACTGCTTTACAGCTAGTGCCTTAAGAAATGAACAAGTCAATTAACAGATGCCACAATTTTGGGGAGCCAAGTGTGACTTTCTTATACTATTCAAAGCATAATTTTCTTCCTGTGATGATGTTATCCATAACACAATTATTCCTCAACAGTTGCTTCTGAATGGAAAATACATTGGCAAACAAAATGTCACAATCTCAAATTTTATTTTATTTTCTTGAACCGTGGAAAAACGTCTCTTACGATGCAATTTATGGTCTGCGAGTGATTGTGAAATGATTTTAGTCGTTTGGTGATGTTTTTAGAGAAATGCACCATGGCTGTCTGTGCCCCAGTTTGGGGACTGGGATCAAAAGGAAGCATTGCCCGACTACTCCATGGATTTCACAAAATTAAGAGAAAATAGGAAGCAGAACAAGAGGGACCCGTCGAGGGCAAGTCTTGGAAATGAAGAAGAGCTTGTCTCCACAAACACCAGAACTTCTAACATTGCTCAAAATGTTCATCACGACTATCATCAGAACCATTCCCCGACGGTATCATCTTTTCTTTCAGTTTTTCCTCCTTAAAATAGAAAGTATCATGACTTCTTTCTAGTGTTTTTTTATCCTACTTGTCTCAAGGGGTAATTTATAGTTACTTGCATCAGAAATATTGGGGGTGCCGAGCTTGTGCTAAATTTGTAAGGTGTAATACAAAAAGAAACTCCGAGGTTTGGTCTAATCAAGAAAGGAGGGGAAAAAAAAAATGAGGATGATGTACCATGTTGGGATTGTTGCTTAAAAAATCTTACAAAATTTCAAAGCACCTTTTGCATTTTTGTTTATATTTTATAAATCACATCGTGTTCGTAACACTTCAAGAGGATGATTATAATTTTGAAAGATAGCTGGAGGTAATTGTAAGTAATTAAGCTAACCGGGTCTAGTTAGAATTATTACACACACACACACTCACTTAAGGTCCCTCATTCTTTATAAAAGTACCCTTGACTATTCTTATTATGATTGTTTGTTCAAGATATATAAAGTTATTCTATTAATAAGGGGGTAAAATAAGTAAATTGGCATTCTCTTGAATGCAAACATAATCTTGGTGTTGATTTGATTTTTCCAAAAGCATGACGAACTAGGCTTTGTTTGAGCTCTCTCTCTCTCTCTCTCTCTCTCT